TCGAAGTTTGGCTATACCTGCACCGGTCTTCCCCACGACCATGAGAACCCTCTCATCCTGCTTCCGCAGCCGTGGCCCGATGTCAAATTTCGCTATTCCCATTTCCTTATTTTCCACCACGACGGATTTCCAGAGCTCGTAAATGGTCGGTTTCCCGTCGACCCCAGACTGGATCAGTTTCGCCAAGCCCTTCATTTCTTCAGCCAGGGTAGTCTCCCGGAAGGGACGAGCCTGCCGCTTCTCTATTCTAGGAATGTGTGGGAATTCCTTATTTATTAGAGGACGTTGTGGAATTTCCTTCCTGATTCGAGGACGGGGGGCGTTTTCCCTTCCAGTTCGAATGGCTCGCGGAATTTTCTTGCTTTTAGCTGCATTCGGAGCAGTTGACCATGAATTGCTCGAACTCTGGCTGCGTCCTTCCTCGTCTCCCGTTTCCTCTTCCTCATCCTCTGCCTCGTCATTTTTCTTTTCCTTTTCTGTGTCCACCGCCTGAGAGGAGTTTCACGAAAAAGAGGACGTCACAGAAAAATTACTCCGCAAATACTAAATCTGACCAACAGGATTAAAACCCAGATTACCTGGCAATGATGCCTGTTTAAGGTTTCCAGTTATACCTGGACAAAAGTTGCTCATGTTTAATAATAAACACATCTTGAGGCAGCACGGCGCTTAAAAGCTCTTCATTTTATAGAGCTCCGCGGAACCAAATTGTAACATTTAATATATAATTGAAGTTAATTTCCTGGAACACTCTCCTCTATGATGCCCCCTTCATTTGGAATGATGAAGAGGAGATGCCTTAGCGAGATAATGTACAAGAAACGCAGTTGCCACAATATGTCGCATCCGTTGCAGTTTCTTCACATTCTTTCAATTTCTCGAACACAGTGGCTCTAAAACCTTGGCACTTCAACTTGAACATTTATTCAACCACGACCAACATTTGAAAGAAAAAAAAAAGATGAGAGACAAACTTTTATCTCAAATTATCACTAAGGGCATTCAAAGGAGTCAGCTAATTCACTCCCACGAACATGGACAGTAGGATCATAATTATGTTGGACACCAGATACACTTGAGTTTATTCCTCAGATTTCTTACCGTGGTATTGTCTTTAATTTTTGGCATACGGGGTGGACGAAAAGTCACCGTACCCCTATCTACCTATTCATATATTTTTATATATATCGTGAATAGAGACCTTAAAATACCCGTGTGCACATCTCACATACCCGCTCAACACAGCGGCGCGTGGGCCATGCCCGAAACGGCGCTGTGCGACCGGCGAGGCGACCTCTGCGAAAGCTCAGCAGAATTCAGTTTTGACAGTTAACCGTTGCGGACCCCAGTAGATACACCATTGAGGATCGCTTAGTGGCGAGTGAATGTGTCCATGAAAGGCAGCACACTGGACAGGTGATGGATCAGATGATGGCAGCGTGCCCGGCTTGATTTTGAAAGCCACCTCCACGTAAAGCAACATTATTATCATGGGAGAAACGAGTGTTTTCCCTCGGCAGTGTGATGGACAGTCGGCCGATAACCCGAGTGGACCCGCACGTGGTATTGTAGGTTCTGCTGCTCGTTTCCGTGCCGATTTTTGTGCTGAATGTGCAAAGGCTTTCCAAATCGTGCCTGGAACGCTGCCATCACTTGGTCTATCACCTGTCAGATGTGCTGTCTTTCATCTTTCATGCACCCACACACTCGCCACTAGGTGCTCCTCAATGGTGTAGCTACTGGTGTCCGTCATGGTAAACCGCCAAAACTGAATTCTGCCGAGCTGTCGTACTCGTAGATGTCATCTCGCCGGTCACGCATAGGCCGCTTCGTACCAGACCCACTCGCCGCTGTAGTGAGCGGGAATGTGAGATGTGCGCAAGGGTATTTTTAGATCTCTATTCACGAAATACCGGGTGGCCCAAAAATAAAGCTCTGAACTTCGTGCGGCTGCAGACGGGACACCTTGCCAAAACATCGTCTTGAAATGTTCAGTGTGCCATACCCAATATAGGCAGATGGTTTTCGGGAAATGTCTATGAAATTCCTTGCTTTGAACATGAGCTCTTTTCGTACAAGTCATCAAGTGAGCATCAAGTGTCAGTGCGTTTGCTGGCGTGCTCCTTCGACCCGCGATCCAAGGAGGACACATTCACGCAGTTCATAAGCCCCATAAAGCAGTTCTTTCATTGAGTTCAGGCGCGTTCCTTTGCACACTCGCTCTTTCGACATTGCGCGGGAAAGACGTAGTTTACAACTAATTCCAATGACTTTTTTCATTATACATTACCTGCTAATATTGGATGGGAAAGCCTGTAAACTTCGATCGATAACTTTTACACTTATTACATACTCGATAATGTATGCATGATGCACCATTTGCAGGCGTGACGTGTTCGTAACGTTTTTTGGGACGCCGGGTATATGAAAACAAGAAAATATATGCAAACGTAGATTGGGGTACGGTGACTTTTCTGCCACCCTGTAGAGACTTTGTTAACTACATTATTTCAGATCTTTTGGACTGTTAAGTCATTAGTGTTGGCATCATAACCGTTTCACATGAAAATATGTTCGAGTGGGTTAACCTTATTCCAATACACCCAAGAAATTATTAAAGCGTCTTCACAATAGATTTTCAGCATATCCAATTTGGAGCGGATTCATAGAATTTTAAATATACAGGGAGAGCCAAAACCTACCATTTTTAGCAAGCTGCCAATCTGATTGTATGCACCCGATTTTTATTACATTTGGTATACACATAGGGTGACTCAATTAGAATTCGTGTCTAACGTTTCAAAAAAAATTCTAAAATATATGTTTTTGGAAATTTAATTTCCTTTTCATCGCCAGAAAAGTGTTAATTTTTTATTTCAGCCTAAAAATCTCACAACTGACAAAAATAAACAAGCAAACAGAAGGAAGACAGATGCACGAATGGCAAACACAAAAGCACACAATTTAATTTAGAGATGTACATTTCAACTGAAAAGGTGCTCAATGTACCCTCCATTCTGTTGAACGCAAGTCTTGGACACCACACATCAATGGCTCGGTCAATATACGTTTGAGGCAGTTCCTCCCAATCTTCCTTTGAAGCATCATGCAGGGGTGGCAGGTCAATGAATTCGGACCTCCCTTTTCATCCCGACCTCAAGGTTACTTCGATATTTTTCGACAGTACATTTTGTCGCTGGTCATCGGAAAATAATTACAACTCCTATCATTTTAAAGCCAGATGGCTGTAATTTGGTTTACAAACTCAAATTGTGTCACCCTATGAGTCTACCAAATTCTAATAAAAAATGGCAGACTACAAAGAGATTAATAACTCAAAAAAAGTATAATTTTTTTTGGCTCACCCTAAAGTAGTCGCATTCGCTTAACCGAGCTATTAGTGCAATGAAAATCTAGATCATCTAGACCAGGGGGGCCCAAAGTGCGCGGGCCGCATCCAGCACACAAAATGCCTTAGAGAACATTTACTTTGGGCACGCCTGTTCTAGACCTTCACGCCACATTTCGACGCCTCTCGCATCGGTGAGAGGCTAGCGAAGGAGATAGCTTCAGACCGCGGTCAGACTCCTTCATCCCCTTCTTTTACTCTTCCTCCGGAGAGTGGAAGTATTACCAGCGAGTGTTGTGTCACTCTTCTTGATTTTACTCATGCGTGGACGGTCGATGAAAACATTCGCTTCTTTGATGAGCACGGGCCATCCCAAGCTCACAAAGCTAAGCATATCAAGCTTAACGGAGGCGGTGATTGTAAATACGGACGAAACCATGGAAGGGAGATGGGTGCAACTACTGTAGATAGAACTAGTACTCGAGAACCAGCCCAGGTACAAATCTGCCATTCCACTGGCCCCGACACCTCAGTAATTATCTTTTGCACCGCATCTTGATCATACAACTTTGATGTAAATAATAAGCTCTCATTAGTATGGCATAGGGCTAAATAAAAAGTCCAGGACAACTAGACATTGTTCTCGATGGATCGCACTTCCTGCTCGCGTGGAGGTGATAAGAGAGATGTGGTGTTGGATGATGCACCACTTCACGCGAATGCACAGACACACTGTCTACGCGGCCGCGAGCAGCCACTCTCTCCTATAGCCAACTATGGATCTGCCATCCGGAAGGGCTGGAATGGAAGTGAAATTTTGGTGATTGACTGGCACCCCAGAGAGCTACGCATGCGCATTAAGTCCAGTTGTCCGGTTGCTATGGATGCTGCGGAGACACGGAATGAAAAAAGGGGGGGGGAAGTGACGAACCGATAGCAATGTCATTTTCCTAAAGTACTTATGGAAATGGCAGACAACTAGATAATAGGGGAGAGATACCAGAGACACCGTACGACCGTGGACCTCCTAACAATAGTTCAAAAATTGTAATATTAGACGGTTACATACCTCTACCATGACAGCTACGATTGCGTGCAGTTCCATTTAACGATAAGATCAAGTTTCATTGCACTCCCCGGCGATATAGTTGGGTATATTGGACTAGATTTTCCACCGTTATCTCTCAGGAGTGAAGCGATGGCAGATTAGGCATTCCCTCTAGATAGCATAACGAAGAAGACCGTTCCGTTAAAAATAAGTACGACGACTAATATAGTTCGCGACGAATGTATCCCTCAAACGATCATGATAATTGCCACCGACTTTCAGCGACATGAGATCGGCCTTTAAATTTATCGAGACAAATCGTCGTGGAATTTATGGAAATGGATTCTCGCTCGACTGAAGTAAAAATTCCGTATTTATTCCATCTGATCGTGGACGTTCCAGCTGGTGACCATTATTCCATTCCATATGGGTGAGAGCTGGGTAATCGATGAATACTTTCGTGACAGATTGATTTTTCGTCTCGGGGACCTAAATGCTAAGCATATCTTCAAAGAAGGATGATCTCCAAATTCGCATAAAGAATCGTACAAAATTATAGATGTCGTTTTCCTCTACGCGTCTCAGGCAGCTGGGCTCGGGGCACCATCACGTGTCGATGGAACTTCAGCTCGGCGCCAAGTTATTCGTGACGAGGGGTGAAAGTGTGAGGTTCGAGTGCGCCGCTTCGAGTATTTCATGACGGTCGAAGGTCACATTGTTTATCCGAGTCTCATAGACGTCGCCTCCAATCGGGCAACGGAATTTCCCCGCTTCCCTTATTTGCTTCCCTCTTAAGCCCGGCTTAGAACGGAACGCCGTGGAGATCCAAACCCGCCCTCGAGTTTAGAAGTTGGCCGAGTATAAAATACATGTAACATTCCAAGAAATTCCATGGATTGGTCTCATTCAGATCGGCACGAGACCATCTGGGTCTAGTATCCCCTCCTAGTGGAGGGGATATTATCCTACTATCCTACTATCCGTTTCTGTATCTACCATCTGTTCGCATGAGGAACCATCGGTCAGATGAAAATACTAATAAATTATCAACATAAAATATTAGAGAATTTAAATTATTCTGGGATATTTCCGTAAGAGTGAACATTCTAGGGACTAGGACATTTCCAGTCAGCCTGCGTTTAGAGAACGCCTGATGACTCTAACTCTGATATGCAGCATGTATGGATGGGGTTGAATTCCAGAAGTAAAGAAAACGCCAACATGGCAATCGATCCTCTCAAGAAATAAAATTGAACGTGCCTCAGAAAATGCATTCCCAAAGCATATCTTCTGATTTGGAAAGTAGGAATATTTGTCATTCTTTGTCATAACTTACGTACAAAAAACGTGCAAAGTTAGACTGTTTCCAGCAATATACGACGTATGAATTCAACATCAGCAGAGACCGATATTAGCGAAAACACCAGTCCATACATAGCGGGTCGAGTTGCCAGAAACATGGCAGCGAACGTGCTGCAACATAAAGGTGCGGAACATCGACAGCAACGATACAGATGTAATTCCCTCGCCCGTTATCGCGAAAGACGTGAAAACCGCGCGACACCTACCCGACGGAACGACTCGTACCGCACTGACCTTCTCGGATCCTCCGAAGCGCAGCCGCAGCGTCGCCACATCGGGCAGCCGAGTCCAGTCCACGTCGACGTACCGCTTCCATTTTTCGTCGTAGACCTCCATGTGAAAGGGTACGTTTTCGGGTATGTGCAGGTCGTGGTACAGTTGTGACAGCAGGTCGTGTTTGTGTTTGGGGCACACCTGCATCATTTTTCCGTCATACCCGCTACCAAACACATGCATGACGTACTTGCAATTCATTTTGCCGCCATCCCAAGTCGCCTTCTTCCTCTGCACATTGACGACAACCGGAGTTGCCATGCTTTTAGCATCGGATTCCGTCGACTTCGGTCGCTATCGGCAACTCACCGGCAGCCTGCACCCGGCACTGTCGACGGGAATCCAGACCGAATTGTATGAATTACTAACAGACGAGGGGAAAAGATGGTGAACTTCGACACTAAACAACCTTATCTTTATTCTATGTAGTCGTCATAGCCATGATCTCATGCAGTGCCACCCCGCCCCCTTGCAACGTCAGACTCCGAGGAAAAAAATAATAATAATGCGTCCCGCATGACGAGAATCGGCAAGAAACGGGTTGAGACTTGAGACGGAAAAGCCCGACTAGCGGTGTCCATCGATACACCCAGTCGACCTGCAAACCCCCATGCCCCTCTGCCACAGAAATATGGACGTCTTCGACGCAGAAGCTGTTTTGCATCACAGAGAAAGAATCCCCCCCCCCTCCCAGGTTTAGATTGGCGTAGTCGTCCCATTCAGCTAGACAGGGAAAGGGTATCTAATTTTCGTCAATCATCACTCGCCTATGTAGCAAGATGAACTTCTTTTGATCCGTTCATAATGAAGTAGCTGTCAAGTGGTTTCTTCGATTTACCGCACGGGTAACCGAAATGGGGAATGCTTGAGAAAGGAAAAAGGGAAGAACAAGAATACAAGAAAATGTTCGAACTACTTCTTCCCAATGTGTTTTTTTTTCTGGGTACATATAATGCAGATGAACTGATTGGTGTATGAGCACGAACCCTCCCCGGGCGGAGAATGGAGATTTTCACGACTCCTCGGAAAACGCATCAAGTGCCCGTTCCTCGCCTCTGCTAAACTTAAATATAATTCTAAATCGGAATTTTCCTGGTTTCGGGAAAAATGTTCTATATCCATGAGGAGTGGGTAATCAGGATGGCCACATCTTCATGTGGCGAAGACAGAATCCGTTCATGAAAGACAGAATCAGTTCTCTTCAGATGTACAACATAAGGGAAGGCAAAGGAATTTCTAGATACACCTGTTTCCGCGGGTAACCCGGCAGAAAGAGACTCTGGGAACTTCTGGCTAGTGGTTCCGATGAGACATGCTCAACTTTCCGAAATCTCCACATGGGACATGCATTCAGTCGGGCTCTTCTCTAAAGAATAGAGCATGAATTCATGCCAGCCATGTTATCTGCTGGACGGAGAAAGTTGAGTCATGTTAGTACTCAATTCGAATTCGGATCCAGTAAAGGATCTGAATTCGAATAAAGGAAGAACATGTTGAGGGTGTTTTGCGTGGGATCATAGTTCTCAATAGAGTACTGCGGGTATCATACCATTGGGTACCCCTCCACGGAGTTATCGAAATCAATTTCAATTTCATTGACTAATTAGCGCTCTTTTATACTATGGATAAGGTACGAGGTGCTCTAATCACCGTACAAGGAAAATTCAACATTGCCACAACGTTGCACCGAAGCAACGATGTGCACGAACTTTGCAAGTCCCTGCCAGAACTATATTCGCAACAGCAATGAATGAATGGAAATAAGGTGAACGAATTTGTTCATCTGCAATTGTTTGCTTACGTCTCAGTTAATTGCTCCCGATGTCAGATACCAAACCTGTGTTCTTCAAGACTGTTGAATTAATACATAAACTGGCGGAAAAACTAGCGGAGCTCCAGGAATGAGCCATGTTTCAGCCACATGGTCATTTATTAACATTGAGATATGCAAATAAGGAATAACTCTCTGATACCTTACGTCCTAGTGGCGTCGTGGATTCACTTGACAGCGCTTAGTAGCACTTGGATTAGTACCTTGATGGTCTCCTCTCGTCGTGATACGAACTGCCTAAGGTTGCTCCGAGCGGTTTTATTACTTTCCGTATCCGGTGGGCGTGATTGCGTTGCGCATCCGAGATGCCAGATATCTCAATGATTCATCAATTGCGTACATCGATGTCCATAATAAATGTCCTAAGTATGTTCATTGTAGCATTTTATGCGTTCCCGATTTTTTGCTATCTGTGAATTTGGTCGCTCGTGCTTTCATGGATCATCTTCATCTCACGCCTCTCCATGCCGGATCGACCTTGGACATTTGCCAGGCGTGCTCCCGCAGGACGCTAGTTCTTCAAAATGTGCCAGAATGAATGAAACAACAATGGATGCCATCCTCCATTTAACTTCAGTAAGTGGAAATGCCTGGAAATGATTTTTTAGACACCATAAATTGATCCTTCTTCCTTCAGGGGGGCTGTATTGCGAGACTCTTTGCACTGGGCGCCGAAATAGCTAGTGTCGGCCCTTGCTACAAGCAAAAGCTTTTTTGTTCACTATGGCTCCTTCCCGCTTTGTCATTTCCATCAGAGAACATTGAATACGCTCTCACTTTTGTCTTTCGTTCTTCTCACTCAGAGCAGCCATTTCTCCTCAGTTTTCATTCAACGAAAGTACCTGTCTTAACAGGTATATTTTCACTTCCCTAGCCTCCTGAATATATAGGTGGCTGGGTTCAAAGTTAGAGGGGAGTGAATAGCTGGTAATTCAGAAAGTCTATTGTGCATTATCTCATCATCAACAAAGAATGCGATTAAATAAATTTTATGATGTATTACCACTCATTCCGAGCAGTTTATTGTATCCAGATCCGCCCTCTCGATGCATCACCTAATAAATACTATAATACTAAGTCATCATTGCAGAAGGTTAGAATGTTTCGACTTGTCGGAAGTTGATACATCCATGCAGCATAGACAGAAGCGAAATTGCAATTATTATTTGCATAGTATTTGCAGCATATATACCAACCAGGCCCTAGTAAAGTCGTCTGGAACTTAGCAAATTCAATTCCTACTTCATACTGAATGCAGACATTGCATGGCAGATGAGGCCAGACACGCATCTCCGTTGTTAGACTGCACCAAGCGCGTGATTCATGAAATGGTGTTTGTTTCTGGGGCAATGAAATAAATCGCAATCTCGTAAAGAATCAACTGCCGGCTGGTAGCGCTCGCCAATTTACTTCAAGCTGAGATGTGCCACAGCTGATTCCAATGACACGAGGTTATTAGTGTGACAAGTGCAGTTTCAATACCGAGAAAATAGCCAGACAATCCCAAGAGATTTTCAATTTCATGGTGGCAGAAATTGATTTATGAGCCAGTCTCCCAGGTTGAATTGTTTTTCGTCTTAGCATCCCCGCAATATTGAAACAACACTTCGATACGACGTTGTTGTTTCACCTGGGAAATGAAGGTAGTTTGACTGAGGCAAGAGGGGGCAGGACGGGGCAAGAGTGTGGCGATACCAGGTCAAATTTTGCGGGAAGGGGTTGAAGAAGGGTAGTAGGCGCTACCAAACATATTGATGCGAAATAGAGCAGAGAGAACCGTTTTTGGGAAGCTTTGCTATTCATTCAGTCACTCCTGAAAGTCAGCAGCTAAATGATGCGCAGAAGAAGGAAATACCAGAAGAAGACGAAATGCAGAGCATGCGACATCTGGAAAATTCATGGGCTGGAACACAATCCTTTCTAAGTTTGGGGCACATCCACCCAAGGGAGTTCCTGAAACCTTGTCTGTCCTGCCTATTAGTTGAGGATCGATGTACCTCTATGAATAGAACTTGTAAAAACTCACTTACTCAGTTGTATGCTACCCGGGTATCATAACTCTCGACGCCATCTGCAGGATAATCGCAAAAGAGAATATCTCCAGCAAATTTGAAGCTCCATCTCAAGAGAAGAACACTGAATCTCGCATTTTGAAGATGTGAATTTTATTCCATTTTTTTCTCCTCTCCTGGGCAGCCACTCCTAAGGGATTTTCGGAGGAAAGAGACCATTCAAAAGAAAAATTACGATGGCCTTGGCATAACCTGAAGGCAGTCTGATAGGCTAGGGCCTAAAGTTAGTGAGTCCCCGTAGGAAGAGGGGGTGGGTTGAAGATAGGGAAAACCATTAATATTTAATTTTCACCTTGTCTCTTTTCGCTGCTTCACCATGCGGCGCGAGGTCTTTGCCCTATGTCTTTCTCGGTCGTAAGCTAGGTAAGAGACTTGCGTTCATGCGTTCCGGAATGCATGTGGATACGAATTGGTTTCATATATTTTGTAGCAGGGAAACGGCAAGGAAGATTTTCCCTCAACTTTCCAATTTAGAGTGGTAATGTCCAATGCAAGACGCTTAGACTAATGCCATTTCTGTGCTCACACTTCAACTAAGCAGGAACGTAAATAGCCACAAACTGCCTTCGTGAATGACGTATTTACTCTTGGACAACTGTACGAGTATGTAGCATTAGGTAGAGTTAGAAAAAGGGATTCCATAAATGTACTTGTGCCTGAATTTAGATATTTAGATAATGAAAGAACTCCCCATTGAATTACATCCCGATAGAAGCTCTCGCCCAGGTGACGATGTCACCCTCAAACTGCATTCTTGACGTCCTCATCATTCTGAAAGTGATGTCCTCTATGGTCATTATTCATAGGTCCGAAGAGGTTGTAGTCGGATGGCGCCAGGTCCGAAACATCAATTGGCATAGCACCCAAGTGATGATACGGCTATCGTTCTACAACTTTCTTGATGCTCTCGCCAGTGATGGCAGTGATGGATCGTCCTCATCGCGCCTTGTCTTTAACCCTCGTCTCTCCAGATGTGAAGCGACTCACTCATCGTCTGATAATGCTGTCATCAACGAAGGCGTCACCATAAAAAACTTCCAGTGGCAGAGGATATCCGCAGGATTTACACCCTCCCAACCGAGGAATTCAATTACTGCTCTCTGCTTTTCACCCACCTGAAGTGTGGCAGCCATTTTGAACGTGTCTCCTGCTTGTGTCTCTCAGCAGATATTTGTTAAACTTGCGAATTTTTGGCGGGAAAGTTCATTTTTAACGCAGAAAATAGTAAATCGTACCTAACATGCAAATTTTTTCTTGAAAAAATTATTGTGCATTACTTTCCGAGCGACCCTCGTATATATACTGTATATATATATTTTTTGTCCCATCCTGAGAGAGCGAGATCCCCTGAAGAAGTCCCACTCCATCCAGGGAGATGCCACCTGCTTCCGAAACGCACTCCATCTCCATGACGACTGGGACACGATGGATGTGAAGACGGCAGATCAAGGACAAAGAGAAGCACGATGGAAGGAGAAACCGCTTCACGGCCAGCATCCCAAGATCATGGATAAACCATCGATCGACTCGGACGTCAGCTGTAACTGGCTTTAAGAAGGGACTGTTGAATGCCGGGACAACATCCTAGCCATTCAGGACCAGTGCATTAGAACTCGTAACTCCGAGAAGCACATCCTGAAGCTGGATGTGGAAGACCGCTGCAGATGCTGTCATGGACCACCCGAAACGGTTCACCACCTCCTCAGTGCCTGCCCCGCAGTAGCCCTGAGGGAGAACCTGTATAGGCACGACCAGGTGTGGAAATATGTGCAGTGGTGTGTCTCCAAGCAAGCCGGCCTGGAAGTCCCAGAGAAATGGTACGAACACCAGCCAGAGTCTGTTGTGGAGAACGCCTCCACCAAGATAATATGGGACATGTCAATTATTACAGACCGCATTATTGGCTGCAACAGGCCGGACCTCACGATCTATGAGAAGGAGAAGACCGCCCTCCTCGTTGAGATTTGAGGCTAGGCACACAAGAAACAATGTGAGTAATTATTCCGATGAAAATATATGTTTGTTCTCTTTCGATACACTTTCCGATGGGCACATACTTTTAATAGGTTTTTACAACATTGAAAATAAATTATTGAACGAATCACTATCCTGGTAATGGAACGCCGAAGGCGCGATTAGCAAGTTATATATGTCGATTGATATCTCAATCCAATATTTTGGAAGGTAGATCATTCTAACATAAGGTACGCTTGAATTGTCAGCTTAAGAAATCAGAATGCGCCAGTCCATTACTCCTGATGAACTTCCATCAGAGCAAGCATATATTATTCATTAGATTCCTCCAGGCGCAACATTCATTGAAAATCCTGATCGATGTAAACGTCTAACCCCACCTCCTTAGCTGCACGATGTGTCTGATGTGGAGATGCTAATATTGCGAAGACGTGTCATTTTTCTACTTCTTTCCATGCGAGGGGAAATGAATATATTGGTTTCACCAAAATGTATGGCGGTGAAAGACAAAGTTCTTCTTCGACCATAACTTTCTGCCAAACTTGAAAGGCAAGGTTCAGGACATGGACCGATGAAGTCAGTATTAATCTCAAGGTTTTCCACATATAGCTTCCAAATCGTCTTTTCGCGATGCGGTACGGCGATCTGATAGGATGAGGCATGACCGTTCAGAGCAGTTGATGCCCATATACATAGAACCATCACTTCGTTATGTATCACAAACATTAAATGCAGAACAATTCCGAGAGAAACGCAATGGAAAAAGTCATGTATGAACAGTTTCTATATCAATAACATTCAACATAATGAATATATTGGTTAGCCTTCTGAATTAAATTAAAAGCCTTATGTTTCGATTTTTGCCTTTTTCGTGTTTTTTCTAATGATGGAGTTGAAGAGAGCCCTGAGTGTTTCCACCATGCTACTGGGTTGGTCAATTGTAGCTACTGGAGTTTCCACGGCGTCCAGTGTCTCGAAATCAATATTTTCTTTCTCCAGTATTGTCATGACGTCAGGCATAATGGCTTCAGCCGAGCCATTCTCATTTAAGATCTTCCTGCATAAAATCGATGCCCTCTTCGCTTGCTCCAAGTGCTCGATCCGCTTCTTAAACCCATCTTGTTCGTCCTTTTTTTCAGCTTCGATCAGGAATTCTATATATTCCTCCATGGTCAAGGGATTCGGGTTGAGAGCGATTTCCTTCAGACGGACAGTGATCTTATGCGCCTGCTGGATCCGGGCGAACAACTCCACTTGGTTTTTCTTGATGTCAGTGGTAAGTGCCTTAACACCCTTCTCGAGAGTTACTATTCCCTGAACTCGTTGGGCAACTTCTACTGAGTTGTCTTGTCCCTTATGCCTGTATACCGACTTTCCTTCGTACCGTTTGGCTTCCAGACAGTGACTCCTCCAGGAGCAGCCGCATTTACGGCATATCATCTTCTTATGTTCGTTCCGGATCATGCATTTACTGTACTTAATGTCTTTTTGCTTTAAATGCGTTGCTGGGTATTCGCAAGTGGTCTTCTTGCAGTCGTTGCAGTTCATGGCCCTTTCCTGTTCAAGATGAGTCTTCGCTCGTTCCTCTGCGACATCCACGACTTTAGCCACCTGCTCTCTCATTTCTGTGAGCTGTCTGCATCTTTCTTGAAGAACACTTATGTTGGATGCAGCTGAAAGAAAAAAACAAGAGAATTCCACCCATTGAAAAGAAAGAAAGCTGGTTAAAGCACAATTCAGTAGCAACACTCATTAAGATGCGCCCTCTAATGGATCATACTGGCAACGTAATGGGGGATATGGATAGCGAAATGAGAGACAAATGGAGTGCCAGAAGATGCCTGGATATATTCCCCTTAGCCCATAAACTGCGAGACATTTTTCTAGGTGTGTTTCCCTGACTAGGCGGGAAGCGCCCCTAGGCATAACAATGTGTAAAATTCCATCCGCCTACTAGATTGTGATGAGTCTTGTCCCAGGGTTGCCTAACGTAAGCTGTTTTTCATATATCGCTCCTTAGTTGCCCAGAAGTAATGATGAAGCGCGAATCAGATTTTGCAAAAGCTGGAGCTTTAGAAATCTGGAGGGGTCAGTTTCTTGCGGGTGTGGTTATGGCTTACGAAAACCAGTCCTGCGGTTCATGGGTTAAGGGGCTGGCGTTAGGGAGGGACTCGAGTCCAATTCTCTTTCTTATATCCTTATAACTTATGAATATCAATTTTTTATGTTATTGGATGAAGTTTGAGAACAGACACTTCAGAACTAATTTCCCGCATTTCCCACTTGCGGCAATTTTTTGTGGTAAATTCGAAGCTGAACCTTTCACGAGATTTTACTCGTGCAGAGCAACAAACACATCTGAAACTTGCACGAAGAGCCTCATTAATACTACTAATGAAACAATTGTAGGAATTGTCCTCAGTTCATCTGAAAATCTCTCACCTATTGGGATTTGCTCCTGCAATTTTTTCAGGTTCTCAGTGAGAGTTCGTCTATCATGTAGAACCTTCTTCGTCATGGCGAGGCAAACAGGCGCCATCTTGTCCAAAGATTCCAGGAAAATCTCTCACCTCTTGGGATTTGTTCCTGCAATTTTTTCAGGGTCTCAGTGAGAGTTCGTCTATCATGTAGAACCTTCTTCGTCATGGCGAGGCAAACAGGCGCCATCTTGTCCAAAGATTCCAGGAAAGCCTTGTTGTTTTTGTGTCCCAAATCCCAAAACATCTTTTGCATGGGATCTCTACTACAAGCGAACATGGCGGAGTTGTTGAAGGTGTGATAGTCCTGGTAGTGCAGCTTGGCATTCCTAACAACGATGATAGCCGCCGGTTCCTGCCCATCGCAGAAGCTGCAAAGCAGCACGAACTTCTCTTTCGTGTCGATAGCAAACAATTGGGTGATGGCGTGAAATATATACTTCTGTGCGGCCGTCAGCCTAACAGCGGAAGAGGGCAGCACAAATCCTACGGCGTTCACACTATTCAATCCATGTGGTCCGCATATCTCGAAGAACTCCCGCATCTGTAGGAGGAAACAATTTTGCTCGGTGAATCTACAGTTTATATTTTTTATACAAGCGGAGCCCCGCGCAAATTGCGCGAAATATGCAGATTTTACCAAAAATACTTTATATTCTGTAGGTACGTTGTCTAAGTAAAAATTACTTAGACGGAGTATGAGTTTCTGGAAAATCCCAGCCGGGTGCCAGGTGACAATAACTAATAATTTATTAATCGCGTACACGGAAAATCATGAGGACAAGTAAGTAGAAATGGGACCATGAAGCCCGCTCTTGGGAGTTCGAGTGAGATTGGTCCTGGAGAGTCCAGGTGCCGTATTCAATATATTTCTTAAAAGTAAGCCTAGAATCCTGCTACGGTGTCTCCTAAGGTTAACAGGGTACTCAATTCAGTCATTCAATATCCGTCTTAGGACGCTGCTTAATTTAGCAGAGGGCTAAGGGACGCAGGGCACGTGTTACGTCTTGGCCCTGTTCCTTCCGTGTACACATGTCGGCTTCCAAGCGAAAGGCCAATTTCAACCAATTTCAGTCTACAAGAGCAAGTGGTGCGACAGACTAAATATCAAGAAGAGGCGAAAGTGCTCAGACTGAAGTTGTCTGGTAAGATTACAGCTGAAGACAAACATCATGCATGGTTGCACATCAACGACGCTATCAACGCTGCCAGCCTAGGGCCGAAAAGGTACGTCAATGACACGCAAAGGAAGTTCCATAACATGATCCCAAAACTTCGTGCTGAAATAGCGAAATACATGAAGTCCTGTAGGAAAACTGGTAAGCATCAATCGGTTTTTAGATTTTCTTTGCATACCTATTCGAAACGTAAAAAGTTTCCCTAATTTCTTGTGTACTACATTTGTTTCGGCCGGTTAGTCCACGTGAAAAGAGTACTTTGTAATTTGAATCTTAGACATGGGGGTTTATATCGATATTCCTAGCGAGAAAATTCTGCAAGCAAGCGTGCTTTAAAAAAAATAATATTAACTCATTGCATGAAGATATATATGTGATCTCATAATAACTGCTGAAAACGCACATAACATTCATCGAATGGTATCCCTTGCGATTGACATCATCTCCATCATTCACTGTTGAAGCTTGAACTTGCACATGAGTACCAACGATCACACCACCACACCAGGGAACTGACCAAGGGCATAGAAAGCATTCCTTTCTTGTGCCAGTTGACCATCAGTGGGTAGTGACGCAAAAATGTGAAGCCTTGCTCTCAAGGCAAGTGCAACCTTCCTTATTATCCTAACTATTCAATCCATGTGGTCCGCATATCTCGAAGAACTCCCGCATCTGTAGGAGGAAACAATTTTGCTCGGTGAATCTACAGTTTATATTTTTTATACAAGCGGAGCCCCGCGCAAATTGCGCGAAATGTGCAGATTTTACCAAAAATACTTTATATTCTGTAGGTACGTTGTCTAAGTAAAAATTACTTAGACGGAGTATGAGTGTCTGGAAAATCCCAGCCGGGTGCCAGGTGACAATAACTAATAATTTATTAATCGCGTACACGGAAAATCATGAGGACAAGTAAGTAGAAATGGGACCATGAGGCCCGCTCTTGGGAGTTCGAGTGAGATTGGTCCTGGAGAGTCCAGGGGCCATATTCAATATATTTCTTAAAAGTAAGCCTAGAATCCTGCTACGGTGTCTGCTAAGGTTAACAGGGTACTCAATTCAGTCATTCAATATCCGTCTTAGGACGCTGCTTAATTTAGCAGAGGGCTAAGGGACGCAGGGCAGGTGTTACGTCTTGGAACGGCCCTGTTCCTTCCGTGTACACATGTCGGCTTCCAAGCGAAAGGCCAATTTCAACCAATTTCAGTCTACAAGAGCGAGTGGTGCGACTGACTAAATATCAATAAGAGGCGAAAGTGCTCAGACTGAAGTTGTCTGGTAAGATTACAGCTGAAGACAAGCATCATGCGTGGTTGCACATCAACGACGCTATCAACGCTGCCAGCCTAGGGCCGAAAAGTTACGTCAATGACACGCAAAGGAAGTTCCATAACATGATCCCAAAACTTCGTGCTGAAATAGTGAAATACATGAAGTCCTGTAGGAAAACTGGTAAGTATCAATCGGTTTTTAGATTTTATTTGCAAACCTATTCGAAACGTAAAAAGTTTCCCTAATTTCTTGTTTACTACATTTGTTTCGGCCGGTTAGTCCACGTGAAAAGCGTACTTTGTAATTTGAATCTTAGACATGGGGGTTTATATCGATATTCCTAGCGAGAAAATTCTGCAAGCAAGCGTGCTTTTAAAAAAAATTATATTAACTCATTGCATGAAGATATATATGTGATCTCATAATAACTGCTGGAAACGCACATGACATTCATCGAATGGTATCCCTTGCGATTGACATCATCTCCATCATTCACTGTTGAAGCTTGAACTTGCACATGAGTACCAACGATCACACCACCACACCAGGGAACTGACCAAGGGCATAGAAAGCATTCCTTTCTTGTGCCAGTTGACCATCAGTGGGTAGTGACGCAAAAATGTGAAGCCTTGCTCTCAAGGCAAGTGCAACCTTCCTTATTATCCTACCTACCTGCTGAGAGATTCCTACACAGTCACTCAACACAGTTTGAAAAGATCCTTTGGCAAAGTACTGCAAAGCAACACTGACTTGAATAGCAGTTAAGATGTGATTATTTTTGGGAGCAACTGCCTTTGTGTCCTCATGAAGACCGGCGAGGAAAATAATTCCGCTCCTGTCAAACCGATACCGCCTGTACAAGTCGGAGTCATAATAAGCATCAAGTGGGTTGGTTCTGTCGCGAAAAACTCTTTCACGAGCAAAAGCCCTTCTGTAGAACACGTTCATTTGCATGAAAGCGGCCATGCCACCAGTCCACTTATGCCTGAGCAGAGTGAAGAAGTGATGGAGGACCCTCCCTTAGATTTAAGCAGCCTACTTTAGCTAGATACTATGCGCAAGTGTGTTATTGAATTGGGTCATCTATCCAAGTAGGGTGCTTAGCCGCGAAAAGTTAGTGGTCTGCTCAAATTTAAGCATAGGAGATTGAGATACGATTTATATTGAATACGGCCACAGGACTACTCCCGCGCACATCCCAACACACAATCGATCATTTAAGGGTTCTCGCGCGGAGCTTACCGGATCTCCAAATACTTGCTCATACACTGGGGACGACCACTGTCCAAATTACAATATAGGGGGACTTCATACGGATCAAAGGAGAATTAAAAGGGAGGTCATCACGTTGACATTACACCTGCGGAGTCCCTGAAGGCGCCACCTAGCGGCCACCGGAAGAACCGCGCGCCTCTCTTGGTTAAGCCGTGACAATATTGAACTCAACCTTAGAAGAGTAGCTATAGAAAGTTGATCTCTTGATTTTTCTTGAAGAACACGTAAAATTGTTATGCACTATAGAAATTAAGTTGAATAAAATTGTAAACTTTTTCAATTTTTTCAAATAGTATCTTCTCCGAACATTACATTCAGTGTATAGTTGCCATGGTTGCCTGGGTATTGGCCTTATCGAGGTCCAGGCTCCATAGTCACCTTAGCGTTTCGAAGCGCTGTACTCTCGAGAAAGCTAAACGCTGGTGTTAGTGGGAAAATACAGGTTCTGTAAGGTAGAATTCAATTCGCTTGAATATTTGCACTTGACTCTCGCTGATAGTCATGGCTAATGGAACACGGATTGGAAAGTGTCGCCATTTGATCGTGAGAGGCATCGTCAGATCTGACTTAGCCAAGTGAACACGTAGAAGCAACGTTCTTTGTCCATTAGCTTCGCCAGTCAATACCTCCACTTCAAAATACCTCGTTGACTCAGCAGTTCTCATGTAGTCGCACAATTTAGACTGGAAGTCCGTAAAAAGGCCTTCCTCACCTTTTAGGTTTTGATAAGCATGATGATTGTTCCACGCCTTAACGTCAGATTATGGGGAGCAAGCCCAGCTGGAGTGAGACTGTTGAACTCCATTGGTTTTTTTTTTCATATTCTTAATTATTCGTGATCACACTGATGATGCTATAATACGTCTTTTCGAATGCTTCAGTTCGCATATTTACTCGAAGATTTCGTTTATCAGTGATGTTATGCTACAAACATGCAAATACTTAAATAAACACTCACGCGTTTGGAAACATGTTATTCTTAGGCGTGGTACCAACCATGTTGTAACATTTCAGGGAGTAAAGGAGTTCAAATGTTCCATGGGAAAAACAGCAGCTGTTTTCCCTATTGCAGTAACTGGGAGTTACAGCACTACAAGGACCTTGGCCCGACCCCTTCGCCCCGACACGACGCGACCCTCGTGCCGTCTAGGGCCGAAGTTTTCAAGATCCTTCGGGTTGGATCGGGACTAATTTTAACATTTAATTTTTAAATGTCATCATTCCTCTGGTCTGGGACCATAGAAACTCCGTGTCATGACTGGAATCTTATCTATTTATGTTATCTAAGATAGGGAAAATATTAAATTATGTAGCCATAAATATAAAAAAGGAAGGAAGCACGAGTCGGGTCGTCAGTAGAGTTCAGAAAAAGTCCGACTTTGGAGGTACATGCCCTGGAGGCACCCAACAAGGAGGGAGGTGTTTTCATATAAAGTAGGATGCCCAATATAATATTATTTTGGCCCTTAAACTGAATTCAATGAATCGTATATCATTTGAGAGGGTGTCCATTGCACAGTAATAAAATGCCACTTTTACTCCAACATAAAGGATTTGAAAAAGTTAGTTTAGCTTACGTTAGGTTAGGTTAGGTTAGGATGAAATTATTTTCCATGAGGTTTTCATCATAACAATACTTTCAGAAGTTTAGAGGGAAGGGAAATGCAGAATACCAAGAAAGAATCAATTAAAAAACCATTCAATTGAATATTGTAAAATCTCACGTAAATGTGAATCATTAACTTTCACATAAAGTATTATTCATTACAACTTTTCGCGATATTTTCCAATTCCTAGATAAAGTTCACCCAGTACTTCGAAAATTATGTTCATTCTAAGTTGCTAGCTATGCAGAACGCATTTATTGGAAGTTCCATTTGAAAACAGTAAAATAATTTAACCTAACCTAACTTTTTGAAACCCTTCACATTTGGATAAAAATTGTACCATTCATGTTCAGAAATGGACCAGATAACAAAAATCCTAATTTCATCAAAATCGGTTAAAGGCCAAAAATAGGCTAACCTAACCTAACCTTAACCAAATCTAACTTTTTCCAATTGCTCAAAATTGAAGAAAAAAAATGAATTTCTTTAGGTTTGGCTGAGGACGCCCTCTCGAAATATACACATATTTCACGTTGGTTTAAGGGCCGAAACTGAACATACACCTTTGCTTCAGCAAAACGGAGATACATTGAAAGCTGAAACTTAGCTTAGGCGTGCCCATTGAGACACTGAACTCAAGAAATCTAAAATATGTGGGATGCATGCCATGGGAGCATATTTCTTGGGGTTGATGCTTTCAAGTATTTTTTGTCCTAGCGAATCGGGCAGAAATGGAAAGGTGAAACTTGGTAAATATCTACCTTTTAGTGTGCTGGGTTAAATTAAAAAATAAAATTAAAAAATAAAATTCAGGCTTTCGAGGTAAATGCCATGGGTGTACAGATTTGCTTTCAAATGCATGCCATGGGGACACTAATTTCAGGTGGAGATGTTTACTAATAGTTTTTTTTATTTATTTCTTAAATGTAGGAACGTGGAAAGCCTAAACTTTGCTTTAACGTGACTACAGTGAACTACATGGTTGGACTACACTGATTCGCAGGGTAGTTCAACCATATTGCACGCGTTTAATCGACTTGATAGCCATTTGAGAATGCAAGACCCTCTTAAGGAATATCTGGGGAGGCAGCGGGTGAAGGAAATCAAGTTCAATTATAAAAATTCGCATAGGGAAAAGGAGCAAATAAATGGATCTGAATATAAGGAAAGGTTAACCCCTGCTGCTGACGATGTGAAAGCTCCCGCTATCACAATCAAGCCAACACGATATGTCTCTCCTAAGTAACTACTAATATTATTGCTGGGATCAGAGATTGACCTTGACAACAAGTTCCTCGTCCCTGCGGAGGCCCTCGGAGTCTCCGAAGCCAGGAGTGTCGATGACAGTAAGCGTGTACGGGATCGTCATCCCCTCCTTCCAGTTGAAGGAATAGGCCGAGACCCCTTTCGTCTGGCTGTGGGCCCTGTCATCCGCGTTCACGTCGCCCTTCTCGGTGATGATCTTGAACCGGAAGTCGTCCTCCCACCGGACACCATACACATAGTTTGCCAGACCGTTGATCATCGTTGTCTTTCCTGAGGGATGTCAAATTCCAGTAGAGAGGGTCACGCTTGAAAAAGGAGTGAACGATAACAAAATGGCGATGACGGCAAAAGTCTTATTTCCCAGCAATATCATGCACTCTTCGGATAGCGTTAAAGAAATCTAAAATTCTTCTATGAGAAATGCTGCCCAATGAAACAAATTTAGCCTGAAAGTAGCTTGCATAAACATAAGGGTTTCGGAACCCCAGCCGAATATTAGGTGTCAATCAAAAGGGCCTAAAAATGCAATTATCATTGAAATCTAAGTGCTTCGAAAATAAGCTAATGAGTTACTTTCTGGTATCCGAGAATTTCTTGCAAGTTCTCGCTTGATGATATGTTATAAATAAAGGAAAACATGAGGTAAGGTGATAATCCATTTTGCTGTCTAAGTCAATTTTGTGCAAAGCAAACTCCTTCATACTCCATTCTACGACTATTCCGTCTTTTTTCTACTTCTAAACTCTATTGGACAAGTAATCAATGTAACTAATTCCTTTGGAAATTGTATTGCTTACGTTTGCATGATGTATTGCATATTCTCAGGGTTTCCGCGTATTGCTTTACATATTCCCAGTATATTTTCCTTAGTAATAAGAGCTAAATGCATGTAGGGCTCCGTGGCACGTGGTGGACCGTCATATGGCCCCCACCCACCATTGTGAGATCCACCCGACATGGGATGGCAAAGTGCAAGTCCCCGTGAAGCTAGAGTCTTACTAATGGGAAAGGCACCCATGACTACGGTCTTTTGACGAGCCGGGGCGTTTCCCTCTTTCGCTTCCACCTCCACACCTGCATCACTCCCAGTTCTGAATAAACTCTTAGCCTTAAGTAAAACATTATTTCCCTTCCCATTATTTCGCCCTTTTTTAGTGGGCCTCCTTTCCTGAAAGGAAATAGACTACTTATGGTCCCATCCTGTCCGCCCGTTTGTCCGTGTGTCACACGTTGGTTGTCTAGCGATAGGTAAGAAAAATATTGGCCTGACCAATGCGAAAATTGGCAAGGAGGTAGACATGAAAAAGAAACCGGCAGAGTTCGTTTCGTGGCGAATTTGAACCAAAATGGTCATTTTCATTGTACATTTTGGATCTGAAATTTTCTAACGGGGGGGAAGGCATGAGTACCTGTGAGCCCTGAAGGATATGGATCACAATTCGCATGCGGGTACAACCCAAGCGTTGGGCGCGGTGCCTTGGCCGCAGCCAGAGCTCTCAGTTCTCTCCCAAACTTCTTGGCGGATGCTTCAAAGCGCACAGAACTCTCCATCCTCCCATAATCATTTCAAGGGCATCAAGGGTAATTTTCTAACGTAACTGAAAAATGATGCTTTTGAAGTTGGCATTTTGTTCAACTAGGTGCCAAAATGCGGGTCTCCTAAAATAAAAGGAGGCTCACAACTGGACTGAGCTTTCCCATCTTATTTAATATATTTTCATTTCAGGACCAGAGAAAGGAAGGTAGAAGATTGTAGAGAAAAGTATAACGTAAAACCATTAAAAGGTCATAATCCGGTTTATTTCCGTCCTGCAGAAAATAAGGACTGACAGGAACGGAAGTGAGTCCTTGTGTCGCGTCGGAAATGAGGTGTTCGACGGCCCCCATGCTAGAGAAAAAAAGCACTATAGCGCAAGGTTCAACTTCCGACGGGAACCAAGGTCGAGAGATAAAAGTCGTCCAGTTCGGGATACTTCGATCCCCATGTTCCAGGAAAAAAAAAACACTACAAAGCAAGGGAGGCGAAGTCAGGTCTCGTTGTCGGTCCTTCCAAAGAGTTGCATAATCATATTATAGGATTGGGTTTTAGTATGCTTAAAGCAACTGACATTGTATTTATTATTTATTGTAATTCGGATATCATGTATGTCTTCTGTTCTCGTAGGGTCTTTATAATAATTAAAGGCAAGCTGAAAAGCATATTGAGGGAGGGGTTGGAGTCCACGTATTCTGTAATGTATCATCAGGGCTTAATAGCAATTATTAAAGTGAGTAACTCGAATATTCCTTGTCATGCCTTAACGAATCTTAAATAACTTTTTTAAACAGCAAATATATGAATACGACTGGTACTTTCGATTTGATGAAAGGGGACAATTTTTAATGTCATTTTTATTATTGCATTGGCTGAAGCGGAACACGGCTAAGCTTTTAATTGGAAAGTTTAAAGAATGAAAATTCAAGAAAACTGGCAACTGGATAAACATTAAGTTGGAAATCGTACGCCCATGATTTATTTTAGGACTACTTCTACCCATAATGTACCCATACAATAGTATTGCATAAACAACGATCGATCGGGTGTATCCTTCAATAGGAGTGACAGGGATTTATGTCTGTAATATTACGATGGGATGAATTAATTCCCATGATAAAATAGGTAGGAATAAAAACTGAGAAATTCCAGACTTTTCCTGGTGCTTTGAGTTGAGTTATACCTGCACCGGTCTGTCCCACGATCATGAGAACCCTCTCTTCCTGTTTCGTCCGAAGCCGTGGTCCGATGTCGAATTTCACTATTCCAAGATACTTATTTTCCACCACGACGGATTTCCAGAGTTCATAGATGGCCGGTTCCCCGTCGACCCCAGGTTGGATCAAGTCCGCCGAGTCCCTCATTTTTTCAGCAAGGGTCACCTTTGAGATACCAGGGGCCTGCCGCTTCTTGAAGCTGGGACTGTGTGGGATTTTTTTTCTGATTCTAGGACGAGGGGGGGTTCGCCTCCCGGTTTCAATGCCTCGTGGAAATGCATTGCCTCTAGAATTATTCGGAGCAGTTAACCATGACTCCCTCGCACTCTGGCTGTTTCCTTCCTCCTCTCCCATATCCTCTTCCTCGCCCTCTACCTCGTCCTTCTCTTTATCCTCTGCCTCTTTCCTGGCCACGACTTTTGCCACGTCTTCCATCTCATCCTTATCTTCACCCTCTCCCTCATCCTTATTTTCATCCTCTCCCTCGCCCTTCTTTTCATCCTGTACCTCGTCCTTCTCTTTATCCTCTGCCTCGTCCTTCTCTTCATTCTCTGCCTCCTCCCGTGTCACGTCCTCTACCTCGTCCTCTACATCGAGGAGATAGAGCAGGAGATGTAGCAGGAGATAGAGCAGGAGATGTAGCAGGAGATAGAGCAGGAGATGTAGCAGGAGATAGAGCAGGAGATGTAGCAGGAGATAGAGCAGCTCTACATCGTCCTCTATCTCGTCCTCTACATCGTCCTCTATCTCGTCCTCTACATCGTCCTCTATCTCGTCCTCTACATCGTCCTCTATCTCGTCCTCTACATCGTCCTCTATCTCGTCCTCTACATCCTCCTCTATCTCGTCCTCTTCCTCGCCCTCTGCCTCGTCCTTCTCTTCATTCTCTGCCTCTTTCCTGGCCACGACTTTTGCCACGACCTCCATCTCGTCCTTCTCTTCACCCTCTCTCTCATCCTTCTTTTCATCCTCTCCCTCGTCCTTCTTTTCATCCTCTACTTCGTCATTCTCTTTATCTTCTGCCTCGTCCTTCTCATTATTCTCTGCCTCCTCCCGTGTCCCGTCCTCTACCTCGTCCTCTACATCGTCCTCTATCTCGTCCTGTACATCGTCCTCTATCTCGTCCACTGTCTCGTCCGCAGTCTCGTCATCTTCTTCCTCTTCTGTGCCTTCCGCCTGGGAGAAATACAATGAAAAAGTAGCCGTCGCATAAAAATTATTCAGCATCTATTAAATCCGACCAGCCACATGAAAGCTGAAATTGTCTGGCAAAGAAATGTGCCTCTTTCAGGTGTCCAGTTACGCATGGACAAAAGTTGCTCTTGTTCAAGAATAATCACATCCCAAAACTGCAAGGCACTTAAAGAGTATTCCTTTTAAATATTGGTAATTATAATAATTGTCTCCGTGGAGCCCATTTGTATCATGTATTACCTAATTGGATTATATTTTCTGAAAAACTCTCTTCTAGGGTTCCGTCTTCATTTTGAATGATAAAGAGGACACAACATAGCGAGATATTGCACAAGGAAGGCAGGAGCCGCAAATTGTATGATAGTATCAGTTGCAGTACTTTTCGAATTCGTTAAATTTGTTGAACACAGTGGCTCTAGAACCTTGGCACTGCATCTCATACCAACCACGTAATCAACAACGAGAATCATCTCAAGGAGCAACGTGAAAATCTGAGAGTCAAACTTTTTTCTCAAATTATCACTAGGGGGGTACAAAGGGGTCAACTCATTCATACCTTCAAACAAGGTTAGTCGAATAATAATTATAATGGCCACATAAGCTTCAGTTTATCCGTCACTTTTCTTACCGTAGTATCGACTTTAATTGTTTTCGAATGGAGAATTTGGTGAAAGCATTCATTATTTCAGATATTTTAGGCAATTTAGTCAGTAGCATTGCCATCATGACAGTTTCCTATGAAAATATGTACAGATGGCTTAACCATATTGCAATACACCCTAGAAATGATTAAACCGTCCTCACGATAAATTTTCAGCGTATCTAATTTGTAACGGAATCATATATACGCATTTTATTATTATAGAAGCAGCAATTGCATTCGCTTAACCGAGCGGTCAGTACCAATAAAAGCTAGATCATCTGGACCTTCATGGGACGCTTCGAAGCCTCTCGCATTGGTGAGAGGCGAAGGAGACGGCATCGGACCCGAGCCGGACCACCCCCTTCTCCCTCTCTCTCCTCCTCTTCCTCCAGAGAGTGGCAACTCTACCAGCCAGTGTTGCATCACCACTCTTGCTTTTGCTCATGCATGGACGGTCGAAGGGAACGTTCTTTTCTTTTGTCAGAATTGGCCATCTTAAGGTGACAAAGCTAAGCAAATCAAGCTTAACGGAGGTGGGATTGTCAATAGGGACGGAACCATCGAAGGGAAGTGGGAGCAACTAGAACTAGTGTACCACCCCAAGTACACATTTGCCATTCCACTGGCTCCAATACCTCATGAATTGTCTTCACCGCATCTCCATCATCCAACTTTGAAATAAGTAATAGCTTTTATTGGTATGGCAAAGGCTAAATAGGTCCGGACCACCATCAATAAACGGTGTTCTCGATGGTTCGCACGTCCGGGTCGCATGGAGCTCAAAAGAGAATACGACGTGTTGGAAGCATAGTACGCCATTTCATTCGTATGCCCAGCAACCATACGCGGTCGCAAGCAGCCACTCTACTATTGTCTATTATGGATCCGTCATCCGCAAGGGATGGAATGGAAGTTTGGAAGTGGAGTTTTAGTCATTCATTGGCATCCCGACCTAGGTGGAAAGCTGCACATGCGCACTGAGACCAGATTTCTGGCTGCTATGGATACTGCGAACTGGCTGAATGAAAAAGGGGGAAAAGTGCCAACTGATCGCAATATTTGCCGTTTCCCTATGGTATCTATGGAATGGTAGACAACAAGACGATTGTGGAGAGTTACTAGACACATTGTGCAGCTATGACGTATCGCCATATAACAAAACAGGATTTTGATATCGGACGGAAACGTACTTCTACCATGACAGCTATGTTCAAGCGCATTTTATTTGAACGACATGACCACGTTTTATTACACTCTCTGAGTGGGGTCGATTGGCTCCACTGCTTTTCCGTTATCTGTTAGGAATGAGAGACTCGGCATTCCCTCTAGGTAACGTAACGTGGAAGGCTGTACCGCTAAAAATAAGTTCGATGAGGAGTACAGCTCACGACGAATGCTTCCCTCAAGTTATGATGCTTGCGAATTTCAGCAATGCGAGGTCGGCCTTTCAGTTTGCTGAAACGAACCTTCGCAGAACCTAAAGAAAGAAAATCTCGCATGACTGAAATCTGTAAAAATTCCAAATTTACTCCTTCATCAGATCGTGCACGTTCCAGCCGCTGAGCATCTTTCCATTCCATATGGGTGAGAGCTAGGCAATCGGTAAATGCTCTCATGAGAGATTCCAGGGTTTTTTTTTTCTCGGGGACTTGTAGGCTAAGGACGTCTTGAAAGACGGATGATCTCTCAGTTCGCATAAAGAATCCCACGAAATCATGGATTTCACCTTCCTCTGCGTATCCCAGGCCATGTGGTTCGGGGCACCTTCACTTGTCGGAGGAACTTAGCTCAGCGCCAAGATATTCGAGGCGAGGGGTGAAAGTGTTTGGTCCGAGTGCGCCTCTTCGAGCGTTTCAGGACGCTCGAAGGTCACGCTGTGTCTCCGACAGATTCTCGTATATGTCGTCTCTAATCAGGTGATATCCCCAATCCGGTAACGGAATCTTCCCGCTTTTCTTATTTAATTTCCATTTTAGCCGGGCTTAGAACCGAGCCCCGTGAAGATCCGAGCCGCCCTAGAGTTTAGAAGGCAGCTGAATTCGAGGAATTCCGAAAGTCGACACCATCCACAAAAGTGCTGATAATAATACATATAGCATGTGACTTTGCGAGAGATTTCACCGAGTGGTCTCACTCAGATTAAAAGGAGAATAATTCATCTGCATCCACGATCCCCTTGGAGTGGAACCGTCTGTTTGCATGAGAAACCATCGGTCGGATGGAAATCCTCATAAATTATAGATTTCAAATATTAGGTATTAAATATTTCTGGGATATCTTCGAGAGGGTGAACATTTTGGGGACGGGGATATTTCTGGTAGGCCTGCGTTTAGAGAACACCAGATGAATCTTGTTCCGTGAACATTCAGAAATGCGGCATGGATAGATCCATTGGAATCCGTAGCAGAAGAGGGCACTGACAAGGCCCTCGATCCTCGCAACATGTGAAATTAAACTTGCCCCAGGAAATGCATTCCCTAAGCATATAATCTGATTTGCGAAGCAGGAATACTTGCGATGCTTCGCGGTCACTTACATATAACAAACCAAGTTAGACGATTTCCAGCAGTCTTTATCTTCAACATGAGCAGACACCGATATGAGCTCAACGCCAGTCTTTACTTATCGAGCCGAGTAGCCAGGAAGCACGGCAGCGAACGTGCTGCAACGGGAAGGCCCCCAACAGCAGTAGCGATAAAAAAGTAATCCCCTCCCCCATAATCGCGAAGACAAGGAAACACTACGACACCGACCCGACGAATTGACTCTAACCGCACTGACCTCCTCGGATCCCCCGAAGCGCACTCGCAGCGTCGCCTCGTCGGGCAGCCGAATCAAGTCCAAGTCGACGAACTCCTTCCATTCCTCGTCGTAGATCTCCATGTGAAACGGAACTTCCTCTGGTAGGCGCAGGACGTGGCACAGTTGCGGCAACAGGTCGTGTTTGTGTTTGGGGCATACCTTCATCTTTTTTCCGCGATACCCGCAACCAAACACCTGCACGAGGTAGTTGCACTTCTTCGTCCTCTCTGAATGTCTTTTTTCGCCATCCCGAGTCGCCTTCCTCAATTGCACATTCCCGACTTCTGGAGTTGCCATGCTCGTAGCATCGGATCCCGTCGATTTCGGTCGCAATCGAGAAATCACCAGCGGGCTACACCCGGCACTATCGGCGAGAATCCAGGCTGTATAGTATGAATTACTCCCATACGAGGGGAAAAGAGGATTAACTTCGACACTGAACACCCTTATCTTTATTCTATGTATTCGCCATAGCCATGATCTCATGCAGTGCCACCCCGCCCCCCTGCAACGCCAGACTCTGAGGAAAAAAAATAAGAAAATAATGCGTCTCGCATGACGAGAATCGCCAAGAAAGAGGTTGAGACTTGAGACGGAAAAGCCCGCCAGCGGTATCCATCGACACACCTAGTCGACCTGTAGACTCCCCATCCCCCTCTGCCATGTAAACATGGATGTATTCGACACACATGGCAATTCGACAAACATGGATGTATTCTGCGATTCTTACCCTGGTGCCCAAAATAAACAGTAGGGGAAACTTGGGGGGAATATGACCATTGGGGTAATTTGACCCTTCACAAAGAATCCCCTTACAGGCTGAATAATTAGTTTGGGCGAATTTTAAAATAATTCTATCAAAGGGTACATGCAATTGTCGAAATGTTTAAACCTATGTATTAATCTATTTCTCTCTGTAATATCGATGTCATGAAAGTCATATCCATGCGATTCTTAAACTCATGACCCTGAAGCTAAGATGAGCCTTAAGCAGCATAAACAAATGTTCCCTAATTGCATCATGGATGCAGAAACAATTTGTTAAAAGTTATTCTATGGTCCCGCCAGAACGTTTGTGGAAAGTGTGAACCCTTTCACGTACGGTTTGCCTACAGTGTTGCCGATTTTGTCATGAAAGTCAATATGGAGGAACATGGTCTTCTCGATTTGTGGTAGTATGGACACATCCTTCATTTCATGGTAGCAACGCACGGAACTTATGGTAGTGTCAGCTTCCTTTCATGTAGAACGTCAGGCAGCAAAAGATCATAAGATGCTCTTCCTCTGGACATATGGAAAGACGTGCAGAACATCTGGACGGAATATGCAGTACATGAGGAACCGGTGCATAAGGGTCATGTACCGCTTCTTCGACAAACGCTTCACAGCCCCAGAAACTTTCGTGTTCTGAAATTTGAATGAAATTAAATATTCCTCGTGCAAGAAAGTAAAAAAAAAGGAATTTTGGGAATTTTTTGGGCGCAATTTCTCCATGCACGCAAAAACTTCGCTGCATTTTCCTTCAATGTAAGACCTCATATTTCACACTCATAGTGCATGTTCACTTTAATCTATGATTGATCACCCCTCTTACACAGTCTTTAGATACGAGATCTGACAATGAAATTCCCGTACTGAATTTATAGTACGGCAATAAAACACACTATATGGATAAAAAAAGCAACTGATGTTGTTCACAGCACTTGCTGACTTCATCCCTATAGTGAGAAGTCGCTACTTCGTATCATTTGTGAGGAAAATACTGTTTTGTGTAGACGTGTTTATAGTGATTGTCGCGTTGCGAAATGGCTTACTTCATGGAGTATCGCTTGTGCATCAACTTGTGTGATACTTGGAAAAACGGCCACGGAATTCTACCAAGTGCTTAAATCTGGATCTGGAGAAGAAATCATCAGCTGCACTACAAAATTTTAGTGATTTTCTCAGTATAAATGAGGCAGAATTTCTGACGAATATGTTCCACGCTCCGGCCGTCCATCATCATCTGACGAAACAATTGCGCGCGTTCGCGGCATAATTCATGGTGACTGACGATCAACAATTCGTGAAGTGGGAGCTGAAGTTAGCATTGCATATGGCTCATGCCAAATTAATCTAAATCGAGATTTGGGATGAGGAGCATCGCCTCGCATTGTGCTGCGAACTCCTTCATCGCACAGAAAATGATGAAAACCTTGTTTCCAGCATCATTACTGGAGACTGAAATTGGGTTTGTGGCTATGATCCAGAGACCAAGTACCAGTCATCTCAGTGGAAACCTCTATCGTCACCTCGACGAAGGAAAGAAGACCGGTGTAATGGAGCATGAAAACAATGTTGCTTGTTTTTTTTGACAACCAAAGTCTTGTGCATGATGAGTTCGTTTCACAAGCCCTTACGAAAATGTCTTATAGGATTCCTATATATTCCTATAAGAATCCTATAGGAACCTAAAGGAATCCTATAGGATCCTATATGCCCCATAGAGTTCAGTTTGGGACCCATAGAGTCCCCTAAACACCAGATGAATCTTGTTCCGTGAACATTCAGAAATGCGGCATGGATAGATCCATTGGAATCCGTAGCAGAAGAGGGCACTGACAAGGCCCTCGATCCTCGCAACATGTGAAATTAAACTTGCCCCAAGAAATACATTCCCTAAACATATAATATGATTTGCGAAGCAGGAATATTTGCGATGCTTCGCGGTCACAACAAACTTGCCAAGTTAGACGATTTCCAGCAGTATTTATCTTCAACATGAGCAGAGACCGATATGATATCAACGCCAGTCTTTACTTATCGAGCCGAGTAGCCAGGAAGCACGGCAGCGAACGTGCTGCAACGGGAAGGCCCCCAACAGCAGTAGCGATAAAAAAGTAATCCCCTCTCCACTAATCGCAAAAACAAGGAAACACTGCGACACCGACCCGACGGATCGACTCTAACCGCACTGACCTCCTCGGATTCCCCGAAGCGCACTCGCAGCGTCGCCTCGTCGGGCAGCCGAATCAAGTCCACGTCGACGAACTCCTTCCATTCTTCGTCGTAGATCTCCATGTGAAAGGGAACTTCCTCTGGTAGGCGCAGGACGTGGCACAGTTTCGGTAACAGGTCGTGTTTGTGTTTGGGGCATAACTTCATCTTTTTTCCGCGATACCCGCAACCAAACACCTGCACGAGGTACTTGCACTTCTTCGTCCTCTTTGAATTTCTTTTTTCGCCATCCCGAGTCGCCTTCCTCAATTGCACATTCCCGACTTCTGGAGTTGCCATGCTCGTAGCATCGGATCCCGTCGATTTCGGTCGCTATCGAGAAATCACCAACGGCCTACACCCGGCACTATTGGCAGGAATCCAGGCCGTATCGTATGAATTTCTGACAAAGGAGGGGAAAAGAGGATTAACTTCGACACTGAACACCCTTATCTTTATTCTATGTAGTCGCCATAGCCATGATCTCATCCAGTGCCACCCCGCCCCTTGCAACGCCAGACTGAGGGGAAAAAAAAAGAAAATAATGCGTCTCGCATGACGAGAATCGGCAAGAAACGGGTTGAGAATTGAGACGGAAAAGCCCACCAGCGGTATCCATCGACACACCTAGTCAACCTGTAGACTCCCCATCCCCCTCTGCCATGTGCACATGGATGTCTTCGACGCGGAACCTGTTTTGCATCACAGAGAAAGAACTCCCCCCCCCAGGTTTAGACTGGCGTAGTCATCCCTTTCTGCTAGAAAGGAAATACTTTCTAAGTTGTGGCCATAACAGCTCGCCTAGATAGCAAGATAAACTTTTTTCCGTCGCTTCATTGTCAAGTAGCTGAAGATAGGTTTTTTAGATTCACCACATGGTCCAACGAAATGGGGAAATCCTGAGATGGGGAAAAGGGAAGAATAGGGATTTGAGAAAATATTCGTAATGTTTCATCCCAATGTTTTTATTTCCGGGGATTGTGGAATGCAGATGAACAGAAATGAGTATGAGTATGAACCCCCCCCCCCCCCCCGGCGGAGACACGGAAACTTGCACGATTCCTTGGAAAATACATCTGGCTTCTTAGAAAAGGTTCTGTATCCATGAGGAGGGAAGGGCATAGTGATGGAATTCCCATGATAGGTCCCGAAAGAAAGAGAAAAAAAATTAAATATCCCTCATGCAAAAAGTAAAAAAAGGAATTTTGTGAAATTTTTGGGTGCAATTTTTCCATGCAAGCAAAAACTTCGCTACTTTTTCCTTCAATGTAAGACCTCATATTTCACACCCATAGTGCATGTTCACTTTAATTTATGCTTGATCACCCCTCTTACACAGTCTTTAGAGACGAGATCTGACAATGAAGTTCCCGTACTGAATTTATAGTACGGCAATAAAACACACTATATCGATATGAACTTATGTTATTCACTGCACTTGCTGACTTCACCCCTATAGTGAGAAGTCACTACTTCGTATCAGTTGTGAGGAAAATACTGTTTTGTGTAGACGTGTTTATAGTGATTGTCGCGTTGCGAAATGGCTTACTTTATGGAGTATCGCATGTACATCAATTTTTGTGATACTTGGAAAAACCTGCCACGGAGTCATGTTAAGCTGAAAAATCAAAATCTTCTCTTTCAGCATAACAACGTTATACTGACTTCAGAAGAGGCATTCATTTACGTCTTTACCTAATTTTAGTGTTTGAATATCCCCATACCGTCTGTCAACGTTCTTTGTTTTGATCGTCGCAGAAAAACCCATATTTTCCACTAAACCGAAACTGAGGATCGTGAACGGTACGAAGTGCACGAATTTTGCAAGTCCCTACCCGAACTATATTCACAACAGACCCAAGTAACACAAGATATTCCAGCAACGTTTAGGAAATGTTGATGAACAATGTTGCATCTATGTGTAAAT